CTACTATAGGCGAACTACCACCCACCTACTACCTCTCCTTCTGTGCTGCCCTTTACTCCAGCTTTGTCTGCCTCTCCTCTACCCCCATAGCAGAGGGCAACATCTCCTCTCTCAGCAACTGGCTCCTCACCTTCCACTCTAAATTCCTGGAGGAGTCAGATCTCACAGCCATCACTTCCTTCCTACAAGGCCTAACTTCACATCCTGCCCTTGCCCCTCTCACACCCAAGACCAGCTCCTCCTCCTCTTCCAGTCCACAGAAAGTGTGGAAGTCCATTGGCTAATGTTTCCCTCCACTCTGTTCTGTTCCTCATTCCAACAAAATACATTTGCCCTTTTTTAACACTTATGCCTTGAAATTCTTCATTGGCCCCATCTGCTTTTACCATGACCTACACCATTTTTCCCTGTTTTGCCACTCTCTGTACATAATTTGCCAAAACCACTCACACACCATGTTCACAAAAGTACTGCTTTTGCTGCACATACACATATATCACTTGTACAGATTTTACTTAACAAAAGGTGCCACTGGCACCTTTTTCCAGACACAGTGTTTGAAGCTCCTGAAGGTGGTAACTGCCCCAGCATACATGCTATTATCAAAGCCCATTATGCTTTGAAACTGCAGGACATTCTATTGTGTATGTGTACACAATAGAATGTTTGCTCATTTATCTCCTCCTTGCCCCAGGGATCATGCATCATGACTTTTGGTTGAACATTCCAGATTACGGAGGATGTAATGCTCTACTTGGGCCGTGGCACCCAACAATTTACATAGAAGTTGTTGGTGGGCACGAAGACGCCTTCGATGAACTTCTCCAGCGCTGGCGGGTCGACCGTGTCAGCGTTCTCCCAGCCGAAGAGGAACACCTGCAGCGCTGCGTAGTCGGCCTTGGCCTCGGCGCGACACTGCATTTCCTCGACCACACCTTCCAGCTGATCACCTGCCAGGCCTGAAGATGTGCGCCGTGAGGCACAGACACACAGACACAGACACACACACACACACTGAGACAGAGACAGAGACAGACACAGACACACACAGACACACAGACACACAGACACACACACACACACACATGACACACAGACACAGACACACACGCACACAAACGCAGGCCAGCAAAGCAAAAGCAAAGCAGTACTTTTCCAGGACAACTTGTCAATTGACTCGGCCAGGTTGTAGGAGAAGCTGTAGGTCATGAGCAGGGGCAGCCCTGTCACGAGGCTGTACACCACGATCGACGCCTCGTACTTCAGGCTGTGCATGACATCGCCCAAAGCAATCTTCCTACACAGATCGAGAGAAAGAGTGAGAGTGAGAGTGAGTTGGCATCGGCATCCCGGCAGGCGGGGAGACCAGGTACTTGTGGTGAATCTTCCCGTAGAGCATGTTGCCGTGGAAGAGCATGGTCAAGAGGTGCTCCTTGCTCACTTTCTCACTGGCGTTCGCCTTTCCCTGCGGCCTACGCGAGGGACTCGATCAGCAATTAGCAATGACCGCACACACGACACACGACACACGACACACGGCACACGACACCGACACACACGACACGCAACTAGCCAACCAGCCAACCAGCCAACTAATCAATCCAGAAATGACGAAGGAGTCGCACCCGAATGAGTGAAGCAGCTGATGGGCGCGCTGTCGGAGGCCGGCGACGCGGTTGAGGTACGCCAGCACTTGCTGCGCCTTCTCCACAGGCCCCTGCACGTCCGCAATGTGGCGCTGGTGTGCTGACTGGAGCGCGGCCTGAGCGCTCTTGTCATCGTCGCTTTCGCTTTCCATCACCTTTCGCTTCTTCTTCTTTTCGGCGGCCTGTGGTGCCATGATTGGGCTCCTCCGAGGCCTCCTCGGGCTCGGCGCCGAGCGGGGCCGGCACCGCCAGAGTCGCGGCAGAGCGCAGGAGTGCCGCCACTTCCGCCATCCTCGCTTGCTGGTCCGCTGTGTCACCGCGGCCGCACAAAGAACGAACACGACGTGAGCCAACTGTCGGAGAATGAAGACGAGACCCCCCCCCGGGGGGGGGAGCAGCGTACAGTGGCGTTGGAGGCCGATGCGCTGAAGAGACAGGGCGCGCCAGTCGATGGGCTGCGCGGCGGTGGCGATGACGGCATGGTGGGCCGCGGAGGACAGGGGAGGTGGCCAGGTGCGGAGATAGCTGCGACGCCACAGCCCGCCGCCGCCCGAGGCGGACAACAGGTGCCGCCACCTGCGACACACCTGGTGGGAGGCCACCAGGTCGAGTACTTCAACCCAACCCAGCACCGCCACGACCATCTCTCCGGGCAGTTCATCCATGGGCGGAAGTCGAAGGCCAAAACGCTTTTCCCCGCCGCTCTTCATTTCTTGGTAAAAAACTGAGCTGCAAGGGGGCAGCTGACGTCATGGCCATAACAGAATTCCACACATTCTAAAAGTATTGTTGGTAACAAAACAAGATACTGACGTTGTACCTTGGCCTCTTCTATCGCCACCAATCGGTCGATCGTCCATCCCTGAGGTTGCCCAAGATCTTCTCGGGACCAAAACACCAAAGCTGTGTGCACACAGGAAAAGAGGAGAATGTGATTGTGGGAGTTGTGGAGCCTTCGGATGAATGTACATTGGCACACATGGCAGGCCAAGCCTCTCACTCTAGACCAGGTCAAGTCCGGTTGTTGATCCAACAATAGATCTAGCTCCTGTGTCGTGTCGTGTCGTGTCGTTGGTCGTGTCGTGTCGTTGGTCGTGTCGTGTCGGTGAGACACAACAAGAAAGACAGGGGCGTCATGGCGAGGGAAGTGGTTGGTTACCAAGGGATCGTTGGCCCAGCTGGGTGCTGGGATTGCTTTGCTCCATGCTGCTGAGGTTGGACCCGGCTCCCGTCTCTACGCTTTGGTCGTCGATGTCGTCGAGCTCCGTCGCAGTGTCCGTGTCCGTGGGCATGTCCAGCGTGCCGTACTCGCTCGACATACAATCATCGTCCGCTGTACGAACGTGGGTGTAGATACATCAGCACGACCCACTGATCATCGCACACGCACACGCACACGCACACGCACACGCACACGCACACAGAGAGTTGGCGTACGGATGGGGATGTTGAGTTTCTTGAAATAGTTCTCGGCCTTGGAGAGGGCTTTTCGGCGCTTCATCTCGTGGCGGTGGTCTTTGGTGAGGTAGGTGCGGATGATCGTCGAATGGAAGCACACGTTCTTGTGCAGAATAAAGCGCTTGGCCTCCCTGCCCGGACACACGACACACACGACACACACGACACACAACACGACACCCAGCAGACGCGGACGTACATCAGTACAACATGCGCATTGAGCTGGGTCGGGGGGCAAAAGAGATTAACCTGAGAGGCTCGGTGATGCTCCACTCGGTTTGCTTGGCCAGGAGACCCTGCACGACGCCGATCTTCAACCCGCGGGCTATCCGCCGCGCAAAGTCGCGAGTGGCTCGGTCCTGCGAGTCGTACCTGCATCGCACACGGCACGCACGGCACGCACGACATGACACGACACGCATACGCACGCGCATGACACGACGACACGACACGGTGTGGACAAAAAGTGAGGGGGAAAGACTCTGAAGAAAGAGAGACGATGAAGAAAACGCGTACATTTCAAGCAAATCAATGGCCAGGGTGGCGAAGTCGGTCTCGAGTTCGGCGAGCACGTTCTGCTTTTCGTTAGCCGCCACGGAGGCAAAGTGAGGATTCGTTCCTGCACGCGCGCGCACATGAAAACACCTCAAGTTAGTGACACAGCAGTGTGTGCGTGCGTGTGTGTGTGTGTGTGTGTGTGGCTGGAGATGGACCTGTGGACACGACGCCCAGGATGCCCGATATAAAGGCGCAGAGCGCTGACAAGCCCGCGGGCAGCAGCACAACCGAGTCTGCGATCACAACGGCAATTCGAGTAGAGGAACGAAAGAACGAAAGAGAGAAAGAATTAAAGAGCGAAGCTTGATCGCCGCAAACGAAAGAAGGCGCGCGGAGGGGGGAGAAGTACCAGAGTTGAGGCTTTGAATGAACACGAGGGCCGAGAACATGGAGCACAGGCCCAGGAGGGGCACGAACACCATGGCCAGGTTCAAGCAGAGCATGGTCCACCAATCGGCCTTTGAGCTGATCTCGAACACGTCTGCACACACACAACACACAACACACACACACGCAGCGTTCGATGATCGACGTTAGTGTGTGCGGTGTGTGCACGTGTGGGTGCGTAACGGCACGCACCTTGCTGTGAGCGCGTGTAGGGCAGTTTGCCGCAGTCCAGCGCGTTGATGGTGGTGAGATAGATCAAGCGGATGACGCCATTCCTCGCCTCTGTGGCCCGGCGCGTGTTAGCGACCGCACACACGACACGACACGACACGACACGACACGACACACACGACACATGACATGGCACATCGTAGGCGAGGGTACCAGGCATGTACTGCATCTCAGCAAAGCCCCGTCGATCGTTGTCGATGATGAAGCGCTTGGCGGCGGTCTTGTTGCCCTTCTTCTCGTGCGTACTCTCCTCGTAGTCGAGGTAGTCCACGCCGCCGCGCAATCGCCTCTTGCGATTACGGTGCCGGGGCCACCCACAGGGCCAGTAGCAGGGCGGGATGCACAGGATGAGCACCTTCAAGTACGAGAGGATGGGAAACGAATGGAAGAGACTCGATCGCACGCGCCGTGTCTTGGAGATCTGTGGCGATGGCTTGTCCGTATCAGCCCATTTGGGCCGGATAGTTTTCTTGAGCCAAGGATAGGGGTTCGATGGATCCGCGCCACGTTGCTCTAATTGCTCTCGGTGCGGGGAAATCGAATCTGCCATGTCTTGGCGGGCTGATGGTGGAGATGGTGCATCTATCTTCTTCATTTTCCCTAATTCGATATCCATGCTCCCCGAATCACCACTCCCTCGGCCTCTCACCTTCCAATCCTCTTTTCAACGTTGCAATCTCAAGAATTGAGATTGGAAGAGCATGTGGTTTCGGCACGCAAATAACATACAAAATAATTTAAAGATCTGAAAAAAGATAAATTATATTTTTATTTGTATTATGACCTGGTCAGTACTTGTGGCCCACGTAGTGGTTGTATAGGAGCTTGGCCTGCAGACCGAGAGACCCCTGCGGCGTCGGACGGAGCGCTGCATGCATGCGTGAGGTGGGTGACAGTCAGACGAACGTGGAGTGTCACTCCAACAACGTTGAAGGTGCGTACCAGGGTCAAAGACGTTGAACTTGGCCTTCTCCAGCTTGTTGAGGTAGTCTTCGGCAATGAACGAGGAATACAAAGCCGAATACGCCTCCTAGAGGAGAAGTTGAAGTTGACGTTGATGTTGATGTTAGCTCGGTTGCTGACCTGACTCTTTTGCGTGAGCGACGAACCTTGGGCACGGTTGATTTGAGCTCTCGTGCGTGCTTGAGATGGGCGTGCGCGGCAGATGCGACCTGGTACCAGGGTTGATGTGGTGTGGTTGTGGTGAGGAATCGCGCCAAGTCACTTAGATAAGCTGATGACGGGCCGCTGTGACGAGGGCTTTAGCGGTGTGATTACCTCATAAACAACCTCGGGTAGATTTTGAGCGTGCTCGAGGTTGCCCTGATATATTGCCTCTTCCGATACGCCATGCTGCACAAAGCCCCACATACAACGCGCAAGACAGAAAACATAGGACACGGAAATGAAGTTATAAGTCAAACCCGACGTCACACCAAATACACAATCCACAATCGCCGGCAGGTGGGTATACCTTGGCTAGCAGGTCCATTGGCAGATAGGTCTGTCGCTGCTGTAGGTGGTACGGCGTACCGCGCAGCAAGAAGGAGATGCCGACGGCCTTGCCTGGACAGACGCAAGCGCACAACAAAGTAAGGACACACACAGCACATAACGTCCAACGATGCAAACGCGGATGCGATCGCAAAAACGATACCGATGTGGGAAGCGGCGTGGTCGGCGTCCATGTTGCGAATGCGCAAGGATTCCAAGGTGAGATAGAGCAGGGACGAGGCGGTGTCTTCGGTGAAGTTTTCCAGCGCAGCTAGCGTGGGCATAGGCCGCCCTTCAATATCTTCCGCCTGGCCAGCAGCACAAGGCGAATGAGTGAGTTGCACCAGGTGCGGGCACCACATCTCGGCATTGCATTGCGCTACGCCGTACCCGTTTGTTCAAGATGCGAGTAAACCAGGTGCGCGTCCACTTGTAGCGCGGCACCATGGCAGCGATCTGGATGGCAACAGGGTGTTCAGGCGGGTTACCCTGCGATTGCCGCGTCAGCGGTCGTGTGTAAGATAGACTGACCACCGCAGGTGTTGAATGGCGCGAGATCACTGTGATACGGCACCTTGAACGATTTGTCCACCAAGTCCCGCCAGAACTGAATCCTCATCAATCCAAGCGGTGCCTACGCAGTGACAGCGTAAGTGCCTTGCCTGTTGCCTGTGTGGTGGTGGTGGTGTGTGTTTGTGCAAGTATCGTGACGCTTACCTGCTTTGCGATGTCCTTGATAATTGCCGTCTCGATGTTGAATGCTCTGTTTATGTGAGATGAGTGGGTCAGCATGAGAAAGGGAATGGGTGGGAGGCGGAACGTTGTGGCGTACCGCAGGACAGAGTAGGGGGCACGCGCTTCCTTAGGCAAGTACATGCCGCACAGGTAGTGCTCATAGTCCAGCTTCCTGTTGCCACACCGACAGAGCGGTCACATGGTGAGGAAAAGTTGCATTCTCTCGAGACGTGTACCGGTGAGAACGCACTTGCTCTGGGTGATGCAGTAGTCGAGCGAACTGATGCCACCCTGCTTGGCTGGTGCCGGTCCCTGCCGCTCGAATTGGCCCGCGGTGGCTGCAGTGTCTGCGCTGCCGGCCTCAGACGTAGAAGCAGGGTGGGGCGGCGTGAAAGAAAAGGGCTTCTCAGCTCTCACTGGAGGTGCCTTTGTCGTGGCATCTTCGTCGTGAGGTGTGAAGGTCCAAGGGATGGCGCCCGAGGTTGTAGGCTTGTGTTCGCACTTGCCACCCCCGTGTAGTGCTGCCGAAGTTGAGTGCAACTTCCGCTTCCGGTGCAGGAGCAAGTGTTGCTCGACTGATGAGAAGAGCGGAACCGTTGTTGCCGGTACAATGCGAGCGCGCTGGATGGACAGCTGCATGGCCTTCATCTTTGATAGCTGGCAGATTTGCTTGCTTCCGATGCAGTAAAAATGAGAAAAACAAAGAAAAGTAAAGAAAATTGTCGAATAATTCCCGAAATGGAAAGCGAACCTGGCCACAGAGAATAAGCCGAGAGACTCGTGTTGTTCTCATCCAAGAACCCACTCTCGCCTTGCACGCAGAGACTCAGACCTCTGCTTTTTGACATAGATCCTTGCGATTACATAGATTCAAAGAGAAGGTGCGATCTCCCTGGTTTTTCGAATTCAAGATGTTGTTCCAGCGCACGAGACAAGATGGGGGTCTACGAATGGAAGAGATCTAGAGGCTAACGAAGGAAAGGCGCAGGATGGAGGCGCTTGTGGAAGGTGGGGAGCAGTTCGTAGAGGATGCAGATTCGATTGATTACACTATGGAGGCGCTTACCTCGAGCGGGTACTCCAAAAAGACGGTCGAGAAGGTACGTACCTTCTCCTTCTCCTTCTCCTTCTCCTTCGGGCCGTCCTCAACTCGCTGTTGGTGTCGCGGGCGCAGGTTGTCATGGCCAAGTTCACTATAGAACAGTTCTACACCAACTTCTTTCGTTCGCTCAAGGACCGCAACGACAGGTACGCAGCTCAGCTCAGCTCTGCCCCACCCCTTGCCCTCGCTCTGCAGAGCCCACGGCTCACATGCGCATGTCGTTCGGTACACACAGGCGCAAGGCGCTCGATCAGGAGATGGTGCAAGCGGGCTTGCCCGACGCGAAGAAGGTGAAGAAGAGGCAAAAGCTCGAGCGCGGCTTTATCAGGTACCGAGCTTGTGCCTGGCCATCACATACCTGTTGAGGTGCTTGGTTTCATCCTTCTTCTTCTTCTTTTCCTCCCGCTTTCCAATAACCAGGATGCGCCGCCTTCGCCTCTCGCCGCAAGCTTTCCACACGGTGGCTGTCATCGGTCGTGGCGCCTTTGGAGAGGTACCTGCTAGAGTCTACGCTTTGCTGTTTTCTGCTTGATCCAATCGGTCATCCTCACTACGTTCGTTATGGCGCCGTAACAGGTTCGTTTGGTCAAGATGAAGGGCACCGACTACCTGTTCGCCATGAAGAAGCTCAAGAAATCGGAGATGATCGAGAAGGAGCAGGTTCGACTGCTTCCCAGCGTTTTCTTTCCAGGCCTTTGCCCGTTCGCAGTTGCAAGCGCGCTTACACCGTCTCGCCATCACGATCTTGTTTGGTCAGGTCAAGCATGTGCGCGCCGAACGGGACGCTCTCGTCGACATTCGCAACCCGTGGGTCGTTGCCCTGCACTATTCGTTCCAGGTACTGGCTGTGCTACACCCAAGTATACAGCTCGTGTTGGCTTTTCTGACGCGCTGTGCCATGACCAGGACATGGACTACCTGTACTTGATCATGGAGTACGTTCCCGGCGGCGACATGATGACCATCCTCATGAAGTTTGACACCTTCACCGAGGAGCAGACCAAGCACGTCCGCCTCGCTCTTGGGTTCGACGACAGTTTCGCTTCTAAACGCGCCCTTTTGCCTCTCTTCTCACACAGATTCTACATTGCCGAGACCGTGCTGGCCATTGAGTCGATCCACAAGATGGGGTACATCCACCGGGACATCAAGCCCGACAACCTCCTGCTGGACAACAACGGACACATCAAGCTGAGCGACTTTGGTCTCTGCACGGGTCTGCAGACAACGCGATTCAAGTCGCTCTACAACAGGTGGGGCACCTGCAACCCTCTTTCCGATCGGCTACACGGTCGTACATGCGACTCAGTAGTTTGTTAATTCGTTGGCTGCAGGCTCATTGGCGAAACGACTGAACTCAAGAAGACCGACACCCTGCGCAAGTCACGGAGGGAGAAGATGAACACGTGGAAAGAGAAGAGGCGAGGCGGATGCGTACATCCTGCTCTTTCCCTCTGCGTAGGCCTGGCTTGTAGATTATTGGGCTGACTTCCCCCCCCCATGCAATGCCTGTAGATCTCTTCGATGGTGGGCACGCCAGATTACATCGCGCCCGAAGTGTTCCTTCAGAGCTACGGCCAGGAGTGCGACTGGTGGTCCGTGGGCGTCATCATGTTCGAGATGCTCTGCGGCTACCCGCCCTTCTGTTCGGACACTCCGTCGGACACCTATCGTAAGATCATGAACTGGGAGGATACCCTCCAGTTCCCCGAGGAGGTCGATCTCAGCGACGAAGCTCAGGACCTCATCATCAAGTACGACGCGCACCACCACCACCACCCACCACCACCTAGTTGCATTGCAGCGTTGGCTTAAACTGATTCCCGGTGTTTGCTCTACGATGCTGCAGTCTCTGTTGCGAACAGTCCAAACGTCTGAAGGTGGAACAGATCAAGCAGCATCCGTTCTTTGATGGCGTGGATTGGGACGCGCTGAGAAGCCTTCACGCGGCCCCATTCGTTCCCAGGGTACCTCCTCAATTCATGGTTGTTGGCCTGCTGACCTGCTCACAACCTCTTCTTCTTCACTACTACTGCCACTTCTTTCGCAGATCGATCACCCCGAGGACGTGTCCAACTTCGACAAGTTCGACGAACTGCTAGAGGAGGACAGCGAGGTACGACCCTCGAGTTGTGAGGAAATGTTCTCCCAGCACCTCGCACTGACCACCATCGTCATCGTCATCATCATCGCCATCATCATCATCAACAGGGGCGTTCGTTTACGAACAAGGTGTATTCGCACAAGGACCTGTTCTGGTACGGGTGGACCTACAAGAACGAGGACGCCATGCACATGTTCGACGGCAAGAACGGCAGGAAGTGAAGTGGACCCAACCAAAGCGAGGAGAATGGCGACGACCATGAGCAGAAGCGACGCAGCTGGATCGAAGACAGTCATCAACACGGTCGAGACGACGAGGGGAGGCCAAGCAAGCATACACGTAAGGTACAAAGGAAGACGGGGTAAGTGGAAGACGCACTCTCACGAGAAGAGAACGCAAACGCCGAGACGAGAGGGCAAAATGGAAGCAGAGAGAGGTAAGCAGCTGCACAAGAAAAGGTAAATACAACACAACGCTTCACACATCAAGTTCCTTCCCTATTTAGGGATTCTACCATTTTCGAGAGTCATCGCAACGGGCGCGCTGGGGGCCAGCACCTAGGTACGTTGCCCACGCACCCAACCCAAGTTCAAGGCTTGCAAACAAACACACAACATCTGCAGCCGCAACGAACAAGTCGTGTTGCATTATTCTTAACACACACACAGGAAGGGTGAGAGGCTTAGATGGACGGGGAGGAAGTGGAGGCGGTGGTCGATGCGGTAGCGGAACAGCAGCAGCAGGGGGATGGGGGCCACCGGCCACATCTTCTCGAGGAGCAGCGTGCCGACAGCTTGTTGGAAGGAGTAGACGAGAAAAATCGAGCGGACGATGCGGCGAAGGCGGAGGGAAACGACGATCACCTTCTTGAGCAGAAGCCAGGTGAGATCGGTGGCCACCACGAAGAAGGAGGAGGAGACGAAAAAGTGGCGGAAGAGACGAAGGGTGTAGAGATAGTGACGATTGAAGAGCGAACGAGGAGAGAAGACGAAGACGAAGCAGCCCAGGATTGCGCGAGTGTACAAAAAGAAGAAGTTGGCGGAGAAGAGGAGAAAGAAGAGCCAGAGGGGCCGACAACGGACACAAGAGGTGAGGCCGAGGCCGAGGTCGAGGACCTGGAGCGAAAGCACGAAGAAGTAGCGACAGCGGAAGAAGCCGGCCCGGCAGTAGAAGAGCCGAAGCAGGTGAGCAGGCGATGCGAGGAAGAGAAAGAGGAAAAGAGAGAAGAGCGTGACGAACACGAGACAACCGAAGAGCGAAGGAGCGAAGACGAAGACGAAGACGAAAAAGAAGAAGCTGAGGAGGAGTGGAAGAGGATTGAAGAAGAAGAGAAAGAGCGAAGGAGGCAGGAAGAGGAAGAAAAAGAGAGGCAGCGGAGGGAAGCGGCTGCTGTGCTTATTGAGCGCGTGTGGCGCGGGTGGTGTGTGCGGCGAATGCACGCCAAGCGGAGAGCAGCGGCGGTGCGCATTCAAGCCCGGTGGCGCGGGTGCCTTGCACGCAAAGCGTTCAAGGTTCGTTTATATCTGCCCAGGGCCAGCCAGCGAGAGGTCTCCCTATTTACCAATCCTCCCCGCACTCTGAGTGCAGCCGCTGTGGAGCAGTCGTCACCTGGCCAAGCTGAGACCCGTCGAATCGGCTCCTCTTTCGCACGTACGTGGTTGCGGCCTTGTGCGTCGGTTATGAGTGCGTTTGAAGGCCTGTGTGCGCTTAGCCTAAGGTTCTGCCTGGCTGCGGGCGTGTGCACAGTTGCAATTGGGCAAGCCGGCGCCCAACTCGCCCACCATCCGTCGGCGAACGCCCTCGCGCGGCCATCACAAGAAGACTAAGTCCATCACCAGGAACGAGGCCGCCTGCTTGATTTCGACTGAGGCCGAAGAACCACCGGCGCCAGCGCCGTCTGCGGCCAAGCCGGCAGTAGGCCACGTAGAACGAGCAGCCACGCCACCTGCGCCAGTCGCAGTCGCAGTTGCCGGCGCCACCCCGAAGGAGCAGAAGACCAGCGAGCCGGGCGTTGAGGAGCCGAAACGCATTCGGCTCGTGCCTCTGGGGGCGCCTGGCTTTGCCTTTGACCCAACCCAGTACGCCTCCCCCGCTCATGTGTGCGCTGGCGTCCATCGCCAGCTCGGGTTGTGCTGACGTAACACGTGCGGCGCGTGAAGGGTGACACTGCGCAAGGCGCCGGTGACGCGACCGGAGGGAGGAGCGGCTGGAAGCCCAGGTGGTGCGGAGCCGCGGGTGGCGGTCGTGCCTAGGGCCAGGGCTCCAGGTGCGGTGGCGATGGCGAACCTGCGAGAGTCGCTCAAGAAGCCGCTGGGCCAGGACGAGCCCGTGAAGACGGGCATGGTGTCCGAGGAGGAGTCGTCCGTGCTCAAGGTCCTCCGCCGGCACAGTGCGCAGGACATGAAGACTCTGCTCGTGCCCAAGCAGGACACCGGCACCGTCCTGCGCCGCAAAGCGAGTCGCGAGGCGCCGGACGACCTGAGCCGCTCCGCCTCCCACTTCACGTACGTTGCTTCCCCGCCATACCTATCATCCCTCTCGTTCGCCGAGATTGATCAAATACGGGAATGCGTGCGCTGCCCTAGTTTTGCGCTGCCGTCGACGGAGGCTCGCGTGGCGGCGTTGCACCAGTCGCTCGGGGGCGCTCGACCGACGCCGGTCGTGCCGATGGCAAAGATGGTGAGCAACGACCTGTTCAGCTCGGCCAACCTGCCGAAGAGGGTCAGCTTCTCCAAGAACGCTTCTCCGAGAAGCACCGTGAACTTGCGCGGACGGCAGCCAGGCGCAGCCGAGTCCCCGTCAGGCCTGGCTGGCCAACCCACCCTGCAGGACACTACCGAAGCAGCAAAGCTACAGGCTAACGTCGCAGCGGGGCAGACCCAGCATTTCGACTCGCCTCTGCCATCGTTGGAGTCCTCCCCGTCGGGCTCGCCCAGCGAGGGCTCGCCCATAGCCGCAAGGCTTAGTGCGCCTTCCCGAGAGCGCCAGCCAGGCAGCCCGATGCCCCAACGCCCGCTCGGCGCACCGCCTGCGACCCCGCCGACCCCAGCCTCGTCGGCGAGCGTCTTCACGCCGGCACATCCGCGGACCAAGTCGGGCTCGTTCGCTCCGCTGATGGGCCGGCGAGGAGCTCTCATGGGCAGCACAAGTTCCATTGCTTCCTCGTCCGCTTCTGCCCAGCCGCATGGTACGCCATGAGTCCCACACACCACACCTCTTGAAAGGTGCAGTGGCTGACGCGCCGGCGCCTTTTGGTCCTTCAACAACAGATTGGCCGCAGCGCAGAAAATCCGCATCAGAGCTGCTCTTGGTCTTCTTCAAGAAGCGGAAGACGAAGGAGGAGCTCATCGAAAGAGGTGCGCACGCTTCCACTGCACTCATTCGTGTCGTGGCGTGGCGTGCGTCGTCCTCACCATTCTACCTGTGCCGATCTCTTCGTCTTGTGTTACTCTCCCAGGCATCTTTGTGGAGGTGGATGGCGAACCTGGTGCGGTAGCAGACACAGGCGGCGATCAGGTGGGGCGTCTTCAGGCACAGCGCGAGTGCACCGTCTGCAAGGAGTCCGTACGGGCATCGCTCTTCAAAAGCCAGGTTCGTACTACCACCTCCACACTCGCAGTAGTAAAGAGGAATGGCTCACAAACTACCTTCATCATCTCCAGCACAAGGTGTGCCCGCGATGCAAGGCGTCGGTTTGTAAAAAATGTGTGACCAAGCGGAAGTACCCGCTGCCCGGCTGGAAGGACAAGCGGGCCGTGTGTCTCCTCTGCCTTCCAGAGGTGGACAAGACTTTTGAGTGAAGCCGACACCAAAAGAAAAGTACCAGAGTTGAAGACGCATGTGAGATCCCCTTATACGTCGACATAAAGGCCGGACCCAATGGGGTGCCAGCGCAATAAACAAAATTCTTCTTCGAAATGAAATTACAAATAACTCTTTATTTTCGCTGCACACACAATTTTGGCGGCACAGAGGTTTGTACGCAGGCAAAACAACACAAACAGATCTGTTTGTTTGCCCGGCCCGCTACCTGCAACTTCTTGCCCACCTACCCCCTTCCTGCTTGGCGCCGAAGGGTTTCCTGTACATCGCCTCGTACACAAGGTAAAATGCGGGAATGGACACAACATCCTTGATCTCACGATAATTTGGCGTACATTAAGGCGTAGCAACAAGTACAGAGGCATTGATTACTGTGGCTAGCCTTGCTGATTGCTTTCGTTCGAACTGTGGTGTACAGACGAACAAAATGCAGCGACCATTCAGTGGGCTCCTCTTCAGTTTCTCGGGGGTGAACGAGACCGAGCTGAAGAAGATTGTTCAGGCCAATGGTGGCGAGTCCAGCTCCATCGTTTCGCCCAAGGTGCACCATTCGCCAATCTTGATTTTCTTGCCGCTATGCGTTCAAAATTTCGCCTATTCCTATTCGATTTGCACGTAGCGGCTTTGTACGCCGATTTCGATCCGCAATGTGAGCCTCAATCAACTCTGTGTTGTGTTTTGTGTTCAGACCACCCACTTGGTGACGACCGCACAGGAGGTGGAGAACAAGACGCAGAAGGTGATCAGCGCACTGCGTAAGACCAACGTCTTCATCGTCAACGACAACTTCATCCACGACAGCGTCCAGCAGGGCCACAAGGCCGACGAGCGGCCGTACATTCTGGCCGAAAGCGACTCCTCGCGTACGCTGCCTTTGCTCTCTTCCACCACGTGTACATAGGTCAATGAAGCTGATCGATGACCACCCTCTACGCAGTGCGTCAGTCGAGCGGTAGCGCCAGCGCTCCTGCCCGGCCCAAGGGATGGTGGAAGGCCAAGTGTACGCCCTCTCAGCTGTAGTACACGCGAGACACAGCGTCAATCCACCCATAACCTGACGTGTTGTTCGGTACACGGTGCACAGTCGTCAAGGTCAAGGCCTGGACTCATGGCACGAAGGGCGAGCCCTACTATCCGGACGACTTTGAGATCACCCGGAGCGACATCCTCCAGTGGACCGACGTGATGTCGAATCACAACAAGTACTACTCGATCGAGCAGCACGTGGCTGAGGAGAAGTACGACTTTGTGTCTGGACATCGTCGCCACCATCGTTATCGTTCGCTGACGCGTCCTCTGTTCCTTCTTTCTTGGTGCGTAGTGGCAAGAAGTACCACCGGCTGTTCACGCACTACGGCCGCACGGACGATCTGGAGAACGACCCCAACTCGGGCCGCAAGGAGACGCGCCACTACGCCAACCTCGAGCAGACCGAGGCCGGCTACGAGTCGATCATCGAGGAGAAGACCGGCAAGAAGGGCTATCGCAAGGTCGACATGGCCTCGGGCAACATCGGCTCCGACAAGGCCCGCGCCAGACACGCCGAGCCCGCTCCTTCCGCCGCAGAGGAGGAGGAGGCTGAAGCTTCGTCGTCGTCGTCGTCGGGCCTGTCGTCATCTCTTCACCCGATGGTGCAGTCGCTCATCAACTACATCTACTCGGAGGCCACGAGCAGGCTGACGGCCACGGTGTCGGCCAAGATCACGTCGCGCGGTATCGAGACGCCGCTGGGCGTGTTGACGCTCGCGCAGGTGGAGAAGGGCGAGGCCATTCTCGACGAGCTGCAGACCCTGTACGAGACCAACAAGCTCGACCAGGCGTCGGCCGAGCGGCTCTCGAGCGACTTCTACACCGTGATCCCGCACCCGATCGGCCGCTCCAAGATGGCCGTCATGGCCGCCGTCCTCAAGACGCCCGAGGCCTTCGACCAGAAGCGCGAACTGCTCCAGCTCATGAAGGACATGGTGCAAGTCAACTCTGCCGGCGGTGGCGTGCTTCACAGGTACTACTACCACCCTCACCCCCGTTCCCTTTTCCTCTTCTTCTTCGAGAGAGCTAGTCCGTTGATGATAAATCAATCCTATGCTAATCCTGAAGTCATCGCACAATGTTGACAAACACTTTGCGTGTCTCTGAGGACTCTCTCTCGTTCGCTCTCGCTCGTTCGCTCGAGGAATCTTACTGCTGGACTTACTCACCCAAATCTGATTCACGTAACCGATCACAACAGTGCCGAGGTGGACAACAAGTACAAGGCTCTGCGGTGCCAGGTGTCGTATGTCGAACCGGATGACGGCAACTTCCGAACGATCCGGGACCACGTGCTCGATAACCAGGTCAAGTCGCGCGAGATCGAAGTCCTCAACGTCTACGGCATCAAGCGCGAGGCCGAGACATCGCGCTTCACCTCGCAGCTGCACAACCAGAAGCTGCTCTTCCACGGCAGCAAGATCTCCAACTGGGTGGGTCTTCTCTCGCGTGGCATGCTCATGCCCAAGTCCGTCACCGCCCTCGGCGGCAAGCGAACTGGTACGCCTCGAGGCCTGGCGCTCTGTCTCCTTTTTGCTCTGCTTACTGTCACCATTCCCCCCCACCGTCATCTTTGCAGATTACGGCCTGCTGGGCGCTGGTCTGTACTTTGGTGGCGAGTCGTGCACGTCGGCCAAGTACACGTCGGCCGGTGCGCAGGGCACGCGCTTCATGCTCTTGAACAGGGTCGCGCTCGGCAACATCCACGAGGTCTACGCCGTCACCCCCGGCCTCAGTACACTACCCCCGTGCCCCTCCTCAAAACACGGCCTTACAGCGAGACTAATGCTTGGTCTCAATTTATTTCAATTCTCTCCAATCAGCTGAGGCCCCGGAGGGCTACAACTCGGTGCAGGGCGTGAGCTCGCGTCACGGCCGGCCGTCGGCCTTCACCGACGACGAATACGTGGTCTACAACATCGAACAGCAGCAGATGGAGTACCTCGTCGAGTTCAGGCTCACCACCAGCGACCCTGCCTACTCGAAACCGGGCTCGGCCTCCGTGACCCCCTCCGCTGCTCTCTCGACGACCACCGGCGGCTTCAGCTTTGGCAGCTCGACCGCGCCCGCTGCGTCGTCGAGCTTCGGCTTTGGTGGTTCGGCCTCTGCTGCTCCCGCAGCGACCACCAGCGGCTTCAGCTTTGGCAGCTCGACCGCGCCCGCTGCGTCGTCGAGCTTCGGCTTTGGTGCAACCCCCGCCGCCTCGAGCTTCGGCTTTGGTGGTTCGACCTCTGCTGCCCCCGCAACGACCACCGGCGGCTTCAGCTTTGGCAGCTCGGCCGCGCCCGCGGCGTCATCCGGCTTCAGCTTTGGCGGTTCGACCTCTGCTGCCCCCGCGTCCAGCGGCTTCAGCTTTGGCAGTTCGACCGCACCCGCTGCATCGAGCTTCGGCTTTGGTGGCTCGGCCGTTCCTGCTGCGTCGATCAACATCACCCTCCAGAACGGCACGACCAACACCAGCCTGGTCGTGCCTGTCCCCTCGAGCCTCACCTTGCGCCGTCTCCGCGATTTGATCGAGACCAGGATGCAAATTCCTGTCGACGAACAGGTACTCCACCTTCCCCTCTCCCGCTTCATTTGTTGGGAAGCCGGTGTACCCATTTTTCTAACGACCATTTGACAATCGTACTTGGCTGGGCTGTGACGCGATACAGAAACTCGTATTCGCCGGCCAGGTCCTTAACGACCCCGACCGCACCCTGGCGTCCTGCCATATCTCCCAGGGGTCTACGGTCCACGTCGCGAAGCAGCAACCAACAGTTGGTGACCACATCACCGTCTACGTGAGGACACTCACGGGCAAGACGATTACACTGCAGCTTCTTCCCTCGGACACCGTCGGCAATGCCAAGTCTATGATACGCGACAAGGAAGGAGTCCCGCCCGAGCAGCAGGTGCCGTGCCCTTCATCCCTGTACAGTGGTGGTGGTGGCGGCGGCGGCGGCGGCGGCGGCGGGATGGTCATGCGAGTGAGACGTCAGGACTGATTGGTCTTCTTTCGCGCGCAGAGGTTGATCTTTGCGGGCAGGCAGCTGGACGACAACAGGACTTTTGCGGACTACCACATCACCCACGATAGCACACTGCACCTGGTGCTCTCCCTGCGCGGATTCAGTATTCCAATGAAGGTAGCCAAGAAGGCTCCGGCGAAGAAGGCTGCTGCGGCCAAGATGGATGACGACGAGGGCAGTGAAGACGATGACGATGACGAAATGCCCAGGGCAAAGAAAACCGCCACGAAGAAGAAGATGCCCGCCAAGAAGGCCATGACTGGCAAGCCGAAGAAGGCCGTCAAGGCATCAAAAAAGGCCTTCTCCGATGAAGAAGAAGAGGAAGAGGAGCTGAGCGAAGGCGACGAAATGCCCCGGATGAAGTTGACGAAGACAACGGCGAGAAAGTCGACTGGGACGAAGGCCCCGAGGAAGAAGATGCCCGCCAAGAAGCCGGCCGCCAAAAAGGTGAAGAAGCCGGCCGCCATGACGTCCTGCCGCAAGTCGCCCGGGGGCAAGGCGCCGCGGGCCTTCGGATGGCCGATGCCCCAGCCGGCGTGGGACGAGCCGGAAGAGCAGGTTACCAACGACGACAACACCGCCGTGGGCAGCCTTTACACCGACTATGAGGACCTCATCACGTACGCTGCGCTCTGCCCTCATTCGTTTATGTGACAAGGCGACTGACTTGAAAGCGAACCCTTTCGATTGTGCACTGCGCCTTCACCCCACCACCCTCCACCACCCACAGGCCGGAGCAGAGCGCGATGAAGAAGCAGGAGGACCACTACCGCCAGCTGTTCGCGCAGGATAGGCACAACTCGACTCTGTCCGACATCTACCTCAACCTGGTGGACGTCTTCAACAACAGGGACACCTTCAAGTTCGCCACCGAGTCCGCAGAGGAGAGGACCATTCCCAAGATTCTCGGCCAGAAGCGGCCCAACCTCGCCTCGCTCGCCGGCCAGTACTCAGTCGTCGATGAGCAGCAGTACGTGCCCGTTATCTATTTTCCTTTTTATTTAGTTGTTGGTTGTTGTTTATATAGTGGCTGAAATCGGACTCGCGATCACAACCCTCAGGTGGGCCAAGAACTGGCAGGACTTCACGCAGGGCCAGTTCGAGGGGCTGAACTGGGAGGGCATCTTCATCGCCGGCGGCAGTGTGCTGTCGTGCCTCGACCCCGACTACCCCAACGTGCACAAGGGTAACGATGTCGACATGTTCCTCTACGCCACCGACGAGCATCGAGCGCGCGAACAGCTGCGCCACATCTTCGACACTGTGCAGCGCAACACCAACGGCAAGGGCGACATCATCCGTACCAAGAACGCCATCACCATCATCAACTCCTACCCCTACCGCCACATCCAGATCATCATGCGCCTCTACAAGAGCCCCGCCGAGGTCCTCATGGGCTTCGACATCGACTCATGCACCGTCGGCTTCGGTACCTGAGACACACTCTCTTCTCCTCACCCTCCCAACACTGTCTCACCTTCTCTTCCCTCATTTTGAACGTCAGACGGGCAGCGCGTGTGGGCTCTCCCGCGAGCTCGCCGATCGATCAACTATCGCTACAATCTGGTGGACCTCTCGCGGCGTTCGCTCACCTACGAGTCTCGCCTCCAGAAATACGCCAAGCGGTACGCACCTCACACCTCGCCGCTCACTCAACCCCGCGCGCGCGAAGCGAATGTTCTCTGTTTCTGATGTGCGCACGCACGCGTGGTTCAGAGGTTACGCCGTCGCTGTGCCCGGCCTTGACCGCAGCCGAGTGGACCCGTTCCTCTTCAGGAAGACCCTCAAGAGCGTCCACGGTCTCGCCAAGCTGCTCATCATGGACCGCAACGCGGCCAAGGCGCAGGCCAAGGCCGAGGCCAGCCCGACCAAGGATGGCACCACGCCCAAGCAGAGGTGCGGTCGGCGCAGCAGGGCTGAGTCGGGTGGTGCGGAGGCGCCTCCGTTTGAGAAGGAGGAGAGCGACTACAGCGAAGTGAGCCTGCCGTGGGGTCCGGACTGGTTCACGATGGGCATCATGTCGATGCTCAACCGCCAGGACAAGGCCGCCTTCTTCTCGACCATCCGCAAGAACAAGGCCAACCCGGGCGAGAAGCGCGGCCCCGTGTCGCACATCTTCGTGTCGGGTATCGACGCCGTGCTGAACGACACCACCCGCATGGGTCCGCTCTCGTGGCTCACCGACAATCCCGGCCGCCAGCTGCTCACCGGCTCCTTCCACCCTGGTACCAACACGAAACCCCACACACACCCCGAAAGCTGTATGGGCTCGCAACACTAACACGCCGCACACACGACACAACACGACAGTCGACGACGAGAACTACGAGAGGGACGCCTACAGCGCACACAGTGGGATGAGCACCAGCACCGGCACCGGCTTGTCGACGCCTAAGAAGCGGGCCAGCCCGGCGGCGGTCCGCGTGCAGCCCGCGCCAGCGAGCAGCAGCGGCTGGGGCAGCTTTGCTTCCTCCACCCAGCCAGCGGCGACTTCTTTGGCGTTCGGCTCCGTCACCCAGGCGCAGCCACAGCCGCAACAGACCAGCTTCGGATCGACGTCGTCGTCGTTTGGCTTCGCTGCGGCGCGGCCCGCCGCCACGCAGTCCTCCGTCTCCTTCTTTGGCAACGCCATCGGCGGCGCCTCTCCCCACAGCAGCGGTGGCGGCGGATTCTTCATTGGCAAGACCCCGGCTGCGTCTGCCTCTTCATCGAAGCCTGCCTTTGCCTCCTCGAAGGCCGCGAGCGAGAGCGAGGAGGAGAGCGAGGAGGACGAGGCGCTGATCACGTCGCTGGCGTCGCTGTCGACGCAGCACCACGAGCCGCAGCAGCACCAGCCGCCGTCGCCCTACAACTACGGATTCCCGACGATGGGCGGCTCGCCCGTGCGTGGGGCCGACAAGCCGACGTACGGCATCCCGTCGCCCTTCGCCAGCGCGTCGCCGATCACCTCGGCCGCCGCGCCGCACTCCTACGGCATCCCCACCTCGCCTCAGCGCGACTCCAGGCCCAAGCAGCCCGAGCATCGTGCCGCAGCGGCTTCGCCCTACAGGCCGTCGCCGCTCAGCGCCACCCTGCCCATGCCGGCGACGTCGTTTGTCACCTCGTCGTCGCAGCTCAGCGAGGCCGTCGAGCAGAGCCTCAAGCAAGGTAGCAACCCACGTGTGCGCTGTGTGCGGTGGTGAGTGCGGCGTATTTCTCAACACTTTTGTTTGTTCTATTCTACGCACAGTGTTCTCGTCGGGCAAGCCGCCGCAGTCGCGCATGGCCAAGCTATTGCTCCTGGTGTCGATGCTCTTCAAGGCGCAGCGCATCACGGCGCAGGAGAAGAGCGCGCTCAAGGACCTCATCATCCAGGACCACGAGGCGCTCGTGTGCGCCCTCGAGGCCTTCGAGACGGAGAAGGACTTTGATGAACTCGAGGACACCCTCCACCGCATCTGCCAGAGTACGTACCACCGGTCTCGCGTTGGGTTGTTGTGTGCCGTGTCTGACTGGCGTTGTCTTCGCTCCACTGCGCAGTGAACTGAGGGAAACCAACTGAGTGTCGCCCGAGCGAGCCCCTCCTTGTACCTTCTGCGAGAGGATTAACACACCTTTGTTGCCTATTCGCTCACGGAGTTCTGCCAACTCGCAGTCGACTGGCTTTTTATGTGGGGCAGTTTTCTGATTGGGCCAGAGTTTAAAGGGGCCGACGGAACGTGATTGGTCAAAAATCGCACAGAGGGCACTTTAGGCAGTCCCGCTCTCCGCCGGGCTTCGGAACCATCATACTGCGGACTCTTCCGGCGAGCAGCAGCAACACGGCACCACTTCCTCTTCTTCTTCGACTGCGCTTCAGCATAATAACACCAGCCCCGAGCGAAGCCGTCTTGCAAGACCACTTTACACTTTTCCACTTCAACACGTTATCGAACACTCACTCACACAAAGCTAGATGAACGCCAGCGACGACGAGCGGGAGCTTGCAGGGCAAGAGATGCAGCGCCGGAGCGACCTGGAGCTCGGCTCCAGCGATGACAGCGAGGAAGGGGCGAGGAAGTATGACAAGGAAGGGGACTCGGAAGGTGATCACGAGACCGACGACGAAGTCGATGGAGAGTCAGAGCTGGCCAAGCGAGGAGCCAAGAAGTTCATTCCGGTGACGCTGGCCTTCAAGAACCTGTTCTACTCGGTCCAGGTGCGCAAGGGCAAGAACCCTTTCCAGAAGAAGCAAAAGAAGACCCTGCTCAAGGACCTCCACGGCGAGCTGCGACCGGGCGAGGTCACCGCCATTATGGGTCCCTCCGGTACCCCCCCCCTCCCCAACCTCCATCTTCATCCTTCATCTTTACCACTACTTCATCAAAAGATATATGTTTATATTTAACATTTCATTTCTCTTTTTTTTTCGTTTTGGTGGGTAGGAGCGGGCAAGACGACGCTGCTCAACCTACTGGCCGGCCGCGTGCAGGGCGGCAAGACCAAGGGCTCGCTCACGGTCAACGACTTCCCCAAGGACCACATTTCCAGCCGCCGGTGGCAGCGACTGAGCTCCTACGTCATGCAGGTATCGTACATATTCATCAGATAGAAAGTGGATATTTTTCTGCACTGTATGTTAATATACTCGTGTATGTGGACAGGACGACGTGATGTACCCGATGCTGACGCCGCGCGAGACGTTCTGGTTCTCGGCGCAGCTCAAGCTGCCCCTGACCGAGCGCAACAAGAAGGCCAAGGTCGACGCGCTCATCGAGGAGCTGGGACTGGAGAAGTGCCAGAGGACCAAGATCGGCAACGCCGAGCAGCGCGGCATCTCGGGCGGACAGCGGAAGCGGGTGAGCATCGGCATGGAGATGATCACCGACCCGTCGATCCTCTTCCTCGACGAGCCCACCTCTGGTTCGTTGTTGGCCACTTTTTGTTGCTTTCGATCGAAAACCATCCACAGCGCTCGAGCTTATATTCCCTCGTTTCCCATTGGACAGGGCTGGACTCCTCGACTTCCTATTCGCTGGTGGAAAAGCTGCGGCACCTGGCCGCCATGGGCCGCACCATCGTGACCACCATCCACCAGCCCAGCACCGACATCTTCTTCAAGTTCGACCGCCTGATGCTGCTGGCCGACGGCCACATGGTCTACAACGGACCCACCAAAGACGTCGTGGCCTACTTCGCCAAGCTCGGCTACACCTGCCCCCAGTACACCAACCCCGCCGAGTTCATCAGTACGTCTCGCCTTTATCTTTTATTATCTTTTTAACTATCATCTTTTTTATTGTTTTATTATTAACAATATTAACATTTTTTATTTATTTTATCACGTAGTGAACCTGGTGAAGGCGGACAGCTACATTTCGAGCAAAGAAGACGGGGAGGAGAGGCTCAAGCATCTGATCAGGGCCTTCCGGGCCGATAACAACCTGCCCGAGCTGACCGAAGACGGCGGGGCCTACGCCGACGGCATCAAGCGCAGCGGCGGCAGTGACACCAAGCTCAAGAAGAGGAAGATGATGAAGAAGAAGCGGCACCACCATCGCGATGGTGATGAAGACGTGTCGAAGATTCCGGTCACGAGCGGACCCAACTTTCTCTACCGATGGGGCCTGCTCTGTCTCCGTTCGGGCATCATGCAGCTCCGCGACCCGCTGCAGGTCCCCGCTCGGCTCATCCAGGCCCTGTTCCTCGCCTTCCTCGTGGGCTTCCTCTACCTCCAGGTACTCCTTCGCCTCATGCGCGACACACACACACGCGTGCACACACACACCACACACCGCACACACGCACACACCACACACACTACACACACCACTCACACCACACACACGCGTGCACACACACCACACACGCACACACACACGCGACTAAACATTTGTATGGTGGCCACAACCAACAGATTGGGGACAACCAGCGGAGCATTGCGGACAGGCAGGGCTCGCTGTTCTTCGTGGTGATGTCGCTGTCCATGGGGCCGATGATGGGCTGCCTGGTGGTGTTCCAGGCCGAGCGGGTGATCTTCATTCGCGAGCACTCGACCGGCTGCTACAGCACGCTGGCCTACTACCTCGCCAAGGTCTTCGCCGACATCCCCGCCCTCCTTGTGGTGCCGATCGTGCAAGGCACCATCTCCTACTGGATGGTGGGGTACCAGTCGGCGGCCGACCGGTACTTCATCTTCATCGCCGCCTGTATCGCCGTGACGCTGGTGGCCCACGCCCTGGGCCTGTCGATCAGCGCCGGCGCGCCGAACTTGGACGTGTCGATGGCCATCTCGCCCATCCTCTTCATTCCTCTCATGCTCCTCGGCGGCTTCTACCTGAGCGACGACTCCATTCCCAAGTGGCTCATATGGTACGTTATTTATATGAAATTATTATTACATTCAATCTGCCTATGTGCTCACAACATGTTTAAACATGTGATTGTGTGATTGTGCATACCAGGATCAAGTACTTCTCGCCGTTCAAGTATGCCTTCAACATTGTGGCGAGGAACGAGTTTGAGGGCCTCACCTTCACCTGCGACCCCGACCCCACGGAAGCCTGCACACCGAGTACGTGGCCCTCCGGGCTTGTCTGTTATCTTTCTTTGTCTTGAGCTCGGCCACTCACTCTTTGCTTTCCGTTCACACAGCTGGTGAGAAAGTGTTGCACAACCTGAACCTTGACAACGACGAAGGGAGCTTATGGGCCTCCTTCCTCTTCCTGCTCATGCAGTACTGCTTCTTCCACACACTCGCCTACGTTCTGCTGCGCCTCACCGCCGGTCGGAGGAAGGCCTAACAGCCTCAGGACTAACAAACATTTGTACACATAAACATCAAAGGTTCAACATACACATAAACATCAAAGGTTGTTTTTTTAATTGGCACAAACAAACACATTGAAAGGTAAATACGCGGTTAATATGTTGGTACAAATTTATTGATATGTTACAAGTACACGTAAGCTGCGATGCTCTTTAGGCGAGGGTGTCGGCGTGGTCGCTACCAAGCAGGCCGTCGAAGAAGGTCACCAGCTCCTCCATGGACGGCCGCTTGTGCGGCTTCTCGTGCCAGCACTTCTTCACCATCTTGGCCACGGCCTCGGGGCAGTCGCCGGGGATCTGCGGCCGCCGGCCCTCGAGCACGTCCAGCGACACGCCCATGAAGTTGCGCCCGGCGAAGGGCTGCTTGCGGGTGATGACCTCCCACATGATTATGCCGAAGCTGTAGACATCGGCCTTCTCGCTGTACTTCTCGCCCTTGATGACTTCGGGCGCCGTCCAGCAGGGCGTGCCGCAGCGCGTCATCGTCATGTTGTCCTCCTTGATGCGCGCCAGTCCGAAGTCGGCCACCTTCAAGCTCCCGTTCTCGTCCACCTTTACATTTCACATTTGATCATAAAATTTAGCGCACGACACGACAAGCACGACAGCACGACACACAACGCACACGACACATTGAAGGGCTTGATGAACGGTACCAGGAGGTTGGAGGGCTTGAGGTCGCGGTGGATAATGCACGGCTCGAGCGAGTGGAGGTAGTTGACCCCGACCGCCGCGCTCCGCAGCATCTTGAGCCGCTTCTTCCACTCGAGCTTGACCGTCGCGTTGCCCAGGATGTCGGCCAAGCTGCCCGACGCCATGAACTCGGTCAGGATGCACATGTTGGGCCTCTTCAAGCACGCTCCTGCATTCATCCATTCCCGAACATTGTGAGCCTATGCGTGCGTGGTGTGCGGTGGTGCGTGTGCGTGTGCGTGTGCGAGCGTGTGGTGTGTGCGTGTGCGGTGTTGGTGCATGTACCGATGAAGAGGACGATGTTGGGGTGATGGAGCTCGGAGAGGAAGGCCATTTCCGACCGGAACTCGAGCAGCCGCCGCTCGTCGAGCTTCTGGTTGATGAACCGCTTGACGGCCACCTCGACGCCCTTCCACCGGCCGCGGTAGACCACGCCGTATGAGCCCATGCCCACCTGCTTGCCCAGCTGCACCTCGTGGAAGTCGATCACCCAGCGGCACAGGTTGGCCGACGTCAGGAAAGTGTCCTCCTTGTACTTGAGGCCCTCGCCCACCATGGTGCCCAGCTCCTGCTCGCCGTCGCTGTCGCTATGGCTGCCGCTGCCGTGCGACTTGCCGCCGCTCTGGGTGCTCCGGGTGCCTTCGCTGGCCGGTGCGACGCCGCCGAAGAATCGGGCCTCGAGGCTGCGGATCTTGAGCTCATAGACGGTCACGCCTGCGTTCACCACTCATGAGCAGATCGCACGACACACACGACACGCGGGGGGCGACAAGCGCACCAGCGGGGGAAGGGGCGGCCTCGAATCGGCCTAGCTTGATGAACCGCCTCGGCTCCTGCGCCAGCTCGGAGCCCCTCAACTTTTCGTACACCTCGCGCGTCACCAGCACCTACAAAAACAAAACAAAACAAAACAAAACACGTTTAGTTTCGACACAGCAGCGTGTGCGTGCGGTGGTGCGTGTGCGTACCTGGCCGCCGTGGGTGATGGTGGTGAGGTGGGCCGCGATGTTGACTACCGAGCCGTGGTACTCCACCCGCCGGGTCACGGCGTCGCGCAGCCGCCGCGGCTCGCCGAAGTGGACGCCCATGCGCACCCGGAGGCCCTTGAAGATGAGCCGATCGTCCACGTCGCCCCACTCTTCCGCCGCGCCCGGGTGGGCCACCAGCGCCTCGGGCCACTCCACGCCCAGTAGCGCCTGCTGCGCCTCCATGCACCACTCCACCGCGCGCGCCGCGTCGCCGAACGCCACGCAAAACGAGCCCTCGCCGCTGTTGCCACCACCAACCGCCGCATTGCCATTCTTGCCGCCGCCGCCGCCGCCTGAAAAGCGGACCTCGTAGCCGTGGTGCTTGACCAAGAGCGCCCGCAGGAGCTCGTTGTGGAGCACCATCGCGCGCAGCATGGCCTCCGAGTCAAACTCCCACAGCGATGCGGCGCGCGTGACATCGGTGAACACGATCGCCATGGCACCATCGGGCGGCTTGACGGCGCCGGTCTTCTGATCGACCGACGACGCGCTGCTGCCGCTGTTGCTGCCCGAGACCGAGTGGGTCGGCAGCGACCACGACCCGGTCGTGTTCATCTGCGTCATCGAAGTCGTGCCGGGGGTCGACGAGCCCGACGATGACGAGGACTTGGAGGTGTTGGTGGCAGTACCGGTCTCGCCGCCGGTGAGCGACGACAGGCGGGTCATGATCTCCAGAAACGTGGGCCTGATGATCGGGTCCCTGTGCCAGCAGTTCCGCATCAGATCGATGTAGTCCGTCGCGCCCGTCATCGCGCTGCTGTTGAGCGCGACCGAAGTGTCGGCGGGCACGGTCGGGCGCAGGTCGTCGCGCAGCACGGCCACGGCCACGGCGGCCGGGCTGAGGCCGTAGTAGGGCATGTCGCGCGTGAGCAGCTCCCACAGGATGATGCCAAAGGCGTAGACGTCGGTCAGAATGAAGTCGACGCCGTTGGCCTCGGCCAGGATCTCGGGGGCGCTCCAGTGCACGCTGCCGATCTGCCCGGCGTCGTCGTCGTTCTTGAGGCTGGCCTTGAACTTGGTCAACCCGAAATCGCTCACCTTTGTGCCACCACACGTCAGTATGCGTGTGTGCGTGTGTGCGTGTGCGGTGTGTGTGTGTGTGTGTACGGTGGGTGCGTGTGTGTGCGTGTGTTATTGTTCAGCGGGAGCGCACACCTTGACGTTCCATTTGGAGTCGAGGAGCAGGTTCATGGACTTGAGGTCGCGGTGCACGACGCCCGACGAGTGGAGGAAGTGCATGCCCTTGGCCGTCTGGTAGGCCATCTTGGTCTTCAGCACGAACGGAATCTCG